CAGTTTATCCGCCATTTCTCCAGGTCCGGCGCAACGGGCAATACCCGGTTCTTTATATTCCGACTTCACCCACTCGGATAACCACTGCATGTTACAGTCACAGTAGAGAGGGTTGGCTCCAATTGCTCTGAAAAACATCACACACACACACACACACACACACACACACACACACACAAGTATTATTTCCTAAGGGAACATAAGGCAATGCTTAGTAGAAATTCCCTATAGATTTCCTGGCAAAAACAACTTAGAAGAAAATGAAGACATTGGGTTACCCATTTTCCTGGATTATGTGCAACTGAGATTTAGTGAGTCATCACTAGTGTTAACACGCACCTGAAATTTAGACAGGGTCCAGGTATTTGCAGAGACAGGTTTAAATTGGGTGGAAATCAACGCTGCCTTCATTCACCGATAATTTAATGAGAACGCAATCACGATGCTGGGTTCCGGGGACCCCAATATAAAACCTACATTACTCTTAACTCCCAAGAACTCCTTTTGCGAGGGAGATTAACCTATACACATATATGCACACACACTTCCTTTAGAAGTGCTCTAGCAGAAGGATTTACAAGAGGACTGTGGACAGAGGGTAACTCCGTGGGGGACTGGTGGTTAAAATGTCTAAGCTTTTAGATGAGTCAAGTAGGTGGGGAAGGCTGGGGAGGATGTTCCAGGGTAAAACCAGTGGGCACACAGGCACAAAGATGAGAAAGTGCCTGGGAAAACAGAGACACTAGTTCACAGAGCTGATTTAGACCGTCATTGGATGAAGGTCCCTTTACAAAGTGTTTCATTTCAGAGCTTTGGTTCCTACTCACACAGACAGCAGTAGCGATAGGAAAAGTAATCAAGGTAATAGCTAACATTTACTGCATCATTCCATAGGCAGGGACTGTGCTAAGCTGTTTATTTACTCGAATTACATCATTTTATCCAAAATAGCAACTCTCTGATGTCAATAGTATAATAAAGCATTTTACAGATAAAGAACCTGAGGCCAAATAAGTTAACCACTGGGTTTGTAAAATTGCCAAATTTGGGCACAAGAGATACATAAAACAGCATTTAAAAACTGATTAATTCTGACTGATAATTAACTTCAGATAAATAACATTTTAGGTCTACGGTCTACACAAAATTGAAGTTACTGTTTTATTAGAAAATCCCCATAATATGCTTGTAAAATACTTTACAATACTTTACATTGCAACTTTAATGCCCAACTCTAAACAAAAAAACTGGAGTAAAAGCTAAGCTCATATCTGCGTCAGATTCAAACTCTTTTTACAAATAAAAAATGAGCAAAATGATGTTTTTGAGTCATTTGGTCTCTTCCTTAGTGACATTTGCTAAGTCCTTACTATGTGAGGGATGCACAGAAAAAGTGAATAGAGCAGAGCTGTTTATAATCTAGGGAGTAAGAGACAAACGCATACATTAAATACAGGAGTGAATGGAACACAGGACAAAGAAGTTCAAGTTGCCCTCACTGTGAGTGGGGTGGCCACAGAAAGGGATGTTCCCCTGAGCTCAAGCCACGCTGCCCAGGCAGCCTTCCTGCTCCATCACCCTGACCTAGCGGATGGGACGGCCGCTTCCTTCTTTGTGCTGCACGGTCTGGTCTGCCAGAGAGCACCACAGTCTTGCACCTGGAGCTCCTGGCTTTAATTAACATCGTGTCTCAGGCAAATGACACCCCTGAGTGGTCCTGATGTTGACTTTGAGGTGCTGGGGTTCAAATATGGAAAACATAGAGGTCTTGCCTCCTGCGCCCTAATCGTTTAGTTGGAAGGATTAGACACTGTAGGCACCAATCAGATGTGCAAACACGTGCATGGAGAACACAGCCGCCATAGGACAAATTCAGATGTAGCATAATGGACAACTCACTCCTATCCTCCGCCCGCCCCCCTTTCTCAATTTTCTACAGTCTTATTTGGGGTTTGGTGGGTTTGGGAGGGAAGGGCAAAACCAGGAGGGGACATGGCAGGCAACCTCTCTGGGGAAATGGGAGCCCAGTGACACTGATATTTAAGCCAAAGCAGAGAACCGCTCCTGGGAATGCCCATGCGGCCTGCCCTAGGAAGGCTGTGGTTCCTGGGACCGTTCCCCCAACTTCCGTCCAGGGTGGCCATGGTCTTAACAGTACAACCGAAAATAACAGAATCATGAAATTTGACTCAGCTGAGTTTTTGGATCCCATTTATCCCATATTTTTAATTTTTTAAAATTGCACTTCCAGGAAATATGGAGGTGCAAATGGCTGCTATAACAAAGAACACAAAGAAAAGTGTTTCACCCATTGTGAGGATTTGGCTATTGCCCTCTACCACATTATAAGGTCGTGAACTCGGTCTCATTTATTTCTGCATGAACCATAGCCATTGCTGAGTAATATTTGCTAAATAAACAAATCTTGTTTGAGACAACCAGGGTAGGCTTCATGGAACAGGTGGTACTTGGGATGTGTCTTAGAACAATTGGGTTTGGAGAGACTGAATGGAAGAGAGCCAATATTTTAAGAATCAGAGAACAATGAGAGTAAAGGTATTGGCTAGGACGTTGGGTAAGCAAAGAGAACTCTACTAATGGGGAGTATGGGCCAAAAGAATAAATGAAGGCTATCTTGTGGAGTTCACCGTATCTACATTGAAAATCTTTACATTTTCTTGAAAACGGAACCATTCACATGTGATGATGTGACAATAAAAGGGGCAGCAGAGGATGCGTGTTGCAAACTTGCTTGTCAGGGACAGTTGGAGCTTAAACCCACATCACGAACTAGGTACTCACAGGTGTGATAATGCAGAAAGATCGTTGAAAGCACCTTCAGGCACAACAGAAATGTCATTTCCATGTAAAGAACTAAAACAAGAAAAAGAAAATTAAATTTCCTTTAACTCAGAGAGTTCAGAAAAATCCCCATGCATGTATATGAAACTTCAGTTGATGATAAGCATTTTAAATCAGTGTAGACAAGATGGTCTAGTCAATAAATAGCTTTGGTATCTATTTCAGAAAGCAAAATATTAGTTCCTTCCTCAAGTCATATGCATAACATACATTCTAGGTTGAAGAGTTAAATGTAAAAATAAAACTGAAGTGTAGTAAGAGAAAATACAGAAGAGTCCCGTTTTATAAACAGGATAGGAAAGGCTTTCAAAATCATTGTGTAAAACTCAGTAACCATAATGAAAAGGAGTGATACATTTTTGAGAACAGAAAATTTATTCATACTATAAAATATTACATATAAGGAACAGGATGGGGAATATTTGCAACACATATAAGATACGAGGAATAATTCCTTTGTGAAAAGACCTGCAAACTTAGAGTCAAGTGCTAGATGTACAAAGATATGTAAGTTAATAAGGAAAAGATAAAGTACCCAATAAAAATAGGGCAATGATATGATCAGGCTCATAGATTAAGCAGCACAAATGCTCAATAAACAAAATATATTCAAATGCTCGAGTAATTGGAATTGCAAATTAAATCAGAAATGGGAAATAAAGTTGCTTTTGTCATACGACGAACTGAAAGGATTGATGATATTCAATATTGGCAGGAGTGCTTTAAAACAGGTACTCTATTAAATAGTTGGTGGAAAAAATAAATTTGTAAATTGACAAAATCCCATTTGAGGGGCAATGTGATGTTTATTTTTCGTATTCTCCCAGTACACTTGGCGGTCATTTCCCCTGCAAATCACTGCTGAAATTACTAGCACATTTGTACCAAAGTGGACGTGTGGGCTGTTCTTTAGAGTGATGAACAGAATTATGAAAATTTGGAAGTAAAACAAACGATAGTGAAGATGTGACAGAAAAAGAACAATTCCTATTTATGGCTTTTAAAATTGATATAGCCAGGGAATATGTATATCATCAAAATAACCAAATGTGTTGCCCTTGCCAGTTTTGCTCAGTGAATAGAGTGTCAGCCTGTGGACTGAAGGGTCCCAGATTTGATTCCGGTCAAGGCCATATGCCCGGGTTGTGGGCTCAATCCCCAGTTGCGGGTGTGCAGGAGGCAACCGTTCAATGATTGTCTCTCATCATTGATATTTCTCTCTCTCTTTCTCTCCATTCCTTCTCTGAAATCAAGAAAAATATATTAAAAACAAAAACAAAACAAAAACCAAATATGTATAAGGGAGGATCATAAAAGAACATCAAATTGGATAATGGTAAATTCTTAGGGACGGTACTGGGCTTGAGGATCATGTTTTATTTTATATACTTTAAAATTCACTTATTATATAATCAGCAAAGACAACATTTCCTACATTTCTTTCAAAATTAGTTGACTCTATGAAAAACATACCTCTAAATATTGTATATTATCAAATAAACAACTATAGCATAAACATGACAGAAGAGAAATTTATATTGTTCAAATTAAAGCTGATGAACAATGATGTAGTCAGATATGCTTTTCCAAATTTGTAGTAAATGCATATAACCGAACACACCCCAGGATCAACAAAGCAGTTAAGCCAGTAGTAAATAGACAACTCGATCCCTGAGAAGAGTTTCTTTGTTGAACATCAGATGCTTACAGTAATCGAAGAGACTTCAATCCATCGAAGGTTCGCGGAGGGATACATCTCAGACGGTTATAACTAAGAATCCTGAAAGCATATAGAAGCAGAGTGGTCTTACTCAGGCATCCCAAAAGGGCCAGATGTCATTTTTAAAATAAAGTGGCTAAGAAGAAGGTTATATAAATTGAGAATATTGACACATAATATTTAAAAAAAATATTGTACTGTTTTAGTGAAACAACCTATATATTTCCTAAGTACAGCCCAGAAAGCTTCCTACCTCCACAGGTGCTGATGCCTCAACTATGCCCTCCCGAAGGTGACCTTCTGCATACATTTGCTTAAGCATCTCCTCTAATCCCACCACAGGTGTAAATATCCCTTCTGTCTTTTCTAGAACCCACCGCCTTTTGTAATGTCTGTGTTTGCTGGCTGATTGAGGCATTATTTGTCTGTTTCTCCCAGCAAGTATTTACATTCCTCAAGGGCAAAGATGCTATCTGTCTCGTTTACCAGGAATGTCCAGTGCCTAGAAAATGCACTGTGCCCAGCGAATTAATGAAAACGCAGTACCGCACTTCCACACTCACAAGGTGAGGAGCTGGGTCATGTTGCTGAAGCTCTGGTTAGAAAGGGTGCTTATTCGGTTGTTACTTAAGTCTCTGAAAGAGAAAAAGAAGGGAATGGAGTCTACTGTTAGCACAGACATGGAAATATTCATGATTCATAGAAAGAGAAGGTCTTTTTGTTCAAGGTCATAGCAACAATGTTAGCGCTCAGCTTTTACCTGAAAATAACAAGACATCGGGCAACCTTCTGGAATAGACTATAATGTTATTTACGATTCATGTGCCTTGCTTTGGCCAATGAGGTGTAGGCACCCGAGCCAGTTTCACTTCAGAAAAGATTTAGAGCGAGCTCACTTTTCCCATGTCCTTCCTCCTCTCTCTCCTGTAAGACTTGTGACCTTCCCCAGACCCTGTGACTGCTGCCTGGTCCCAGAACAAAGGCATGTGGAGGCCAGTTACAATGGACACATTTTATGGGGGAAAAGAAACCTCTGTCTTGGAAAGTTCCATCAGTTACACATGCTTATCTTCTTGGGAATATATCCTCACCAATATATCCTCTCTCTCTCGCCCTCTCCCTTCCTCTCTGAAATCAAGAATCACATATTTGAAAAACCACCACCACCACCAAAAAATGCCTTAATTAAAAACTCTGCTCTGCCCTTGCCAGTTTGGTTCAGTGGATAGAGCGTTGGTCTGTGGACAGAAGGGTCCCGGGTTCCATTCTGATCAAGGGCACATGCCCAGGTTGTGGGTTTGATCCCCAGTAGGGGGCATGCAGGAGGCAGTCAATCAATGATTCTATCTCATCATTGATCTTTCTAGCTCTCTCTCCCTCTCCCTTCCTCTCTGAAGTCATTAAAAATATATTTAAAGAAAAGCAAAAAAATAATTTTGCCCTTGGCCAGTGGTCGGCAAACTCATTAGTCAACAGAGCCAAATATCAACAGTACAACGACTGAAATCTCTTTTGAGAGCCAAATTTTTTAAACTTAAACTATTAGGTAGGTACATTGTTATTAACTTAATTAGGGTACTCCTAAGGCTTAGGAAGAGCCACACTCAAAGGGCCAAAGAGCCGCATGTGGCTCAAGAGCCGCAGTTTGCCGACTACAGCCCTTGGCCAAAGTCACCAATACATACTAGATCATCAGTAAATATCTATTTATTGAATGATAAGTAAATGAGAGAGATGTGAATTATTTACTGAAGCTAAATGGCTATTTATAAGTGCATTTTGTACTATGGGTTATAATTTATATTCAGTGAACTTGATCTTATTTTTGTTATATATATGTGATATATATAATATAATGACATAATATAAATATAATATATAATGAAATATAATCATATATAACATTTACATATACATATTTTGCATTTTGCTTTAGGAAAAATTATGAATATATATGCCTCCATATATTCAACAATGACACAGATATTAGTGAAGGTGTATATATTCACTAATGTTTTCCTAAAGCAAAATGCCAAATATATAAATAAGAGAAAAATTCATGAAAAAATAATTTAGGATAAAATTTATATGTGTGTATTTATATTCACGAAATTTTTCTGAAGTAAAATATATGAATCGTTAAATGCAAGATCCAGAATAGCTAATTATCATTCCTTTATTAAAGCACCAAAAGTATCAGTAAAATGGACCAATTAAATTGTGAAAATAGTAGGGATGTTATAGAAGCTCTAAAATCCATGTTCTCAACTACTGAAGTACTATACCTAACTTTTAAAAAGGAAATAAATATATCTATATCAGCAAAATGACTCCTTGGTGAAACCATTTGTGGATCTACAAATTCTCATTTTTCATTTTCAAATTGGTTTGGAATAATCACGCACTGTCCCGCAAATGACCCGGTTCTGCTCAAGTGACCCTTTGGAAACTGCAGCAATTTAATGGTTTATTTAACAGAACAAAATGCACGTAATCGCTTGTTGCTGCTGTTAAACAAATAACTAGGGCAGAACAAGGCGCCTTGGAGGGTATTCCTTTTTCCTTAATTTCATAGTTTGTCATCTAAACAGTCCTGGATGCTTCTTACAAAGTGTTTTCCTGTTTTCCTGTATTTTTAAGGAAAATTGAAAGTCATAAGCATCATTTTAACTAACCTCTACCTCCCTAGGGCAGTGATTTTCAACCTTTTTTCATTTCATGGCACACAAACTCATTATTAAAATTCTGCAGAATACCACAACTATGTTATAATGTTGGGCCGACTTCACAAAAAAATAGGAATATCTTTGG